TCTTTTTTAAAGACAAAAATTTTTGAGGCGAAATACCCAAAAAGAAGTTTGTAAAAAATGAATCCGCCTCAACAATATAGAACTTATCTACAATAATTTAATCGGAAAATTGTGTTTTTTTCCTTAAACACTATGGGAAGTTAAACTGTGTAACCTCAATTAATTCTGCAAACAAGCGACCGGAATAATCTAAATGACAAGAATTATTATTCGATGTTGGTTTCCTCGAAAATTCTGTATCACATGACAACAACTTATACCTGATAAGTAAAGTAAATATAATAGATATGTTCACATCTTCAATTAATATTCCGGCTGGACAATTTTCATTGTCCTGCAACAACATCCTCAAACCCTGACCCAAAAATAAAACTGCAGCACACAATCAATAAAAACAAGTTTACAATTCTATTTTCCGCAAATTTTCATCTGGAGGACGTAGACAACAATACGAAATTGCTTCGTTTGATACACAGTGGCGTGGAGTGGGCAACGACCTGGTACATCTATAAAAATGGGAGCGAACTCAAGCCGCTTTCAGTGCGCTATAGCTAGGTCTAACAACAACGCGTTGTGGCAGTAGCAAACCTGAACACCACGTGTGACCCAGTTTTCCAACCAGAAGTGTGCTAAAACGTTTGTGTTTTTACTTTAAATTAGTGCCTTATTGAAAAAAGACTGAACCAAAAAAATTTAAAAAAACAAAAATACGACGTGATACATTGTGATACTAGATTAAGAAGTAATTTGTAATTTGCTGACTACTCAAAATGCCTGCTCCCATTCTTGAAACCATGGAAAACGAAAACACCTTGGAAAGCATCGAGCCGCAAGAAGATCAGCTTGGAGATTTGATACCTCCATCCAAGGTACTCGATCCAAGGGATTCAATTTCTTCAATTGATAGCGATGTAAGTCTGTCTTACGACCGAAAGGGAAGTTTGGTAGATACGCAAGTTTTGGAAAATGAAGATGAAGGGGCACACATGGCCGACCTTTCAGACAGTGCTTCTGATACTGGCTCTGCCGGAGGTGGCAAAGACTCCGGATGCGAAGTGACTCCTGAACTGACTGAACCTCCATTCAACATTCCAAGCGACGAGCTGGCTGAAAAAATCTCCCAACAGGTGGAATTTTACTTTTCGGACGCAAATATTACTAAGGATGCTTTTTTGCTTAAACACGTGAAAAGAAACAAGGAAGGGTTCGTATCTTTGAAATTGATCTCCAGCTTCAAGCGCGTAAAACATCTTACTAAAGACTGGCGAGTTGTTGCTTACGCTCTGAAACGCTCCACTAAATTGGAAATTAATGAAGCTGGAACTAAACTAAGAAGATTGGACCCTCTTCCGAAGTACGACGAAACAACTCCATCCAGAACAGTTGTCGCTGTTCACATGCCTATCGAGAAGCCGACAATTGAAAATGTCGCAGAGCTATTCAAAAATTGTGGCGAAATTGCTCTAATCAGAATTTTGAGACCCGGCAACCCTATTCCGACAGATGTGCGCCAATTTATCAACAAAAACCCTTCATTAGCTGGAGTGGTATGCGCTTTAGTTGAATTTGTTGCGTCAGAATACGCTAGAAATGCGCTTCAATTACAAACCACTTTAGGGGAACCTTTAAAAGTGTATGAATTGAACAACGTTCCTCATCCAGAACGAAAGAAGAAAGTTAACAATAAGAAAGTTTCCAACAACAATAACAACATCATGAACAACAATATGTATTGCAAAGGGTTTATTTCTGAATCCGATTACATAAGCTCATCTTGCCAAAGTGGTTCTGAAGCAGAAGACATCAGGAAGTTTGATCCAAGAGGTAAGCATTACATTTTCATTCTGTTCATTTTATTTATAGCAAACGTAGTAAAGTTATCAGGTAAGAAAACTAAGAACTAAAGCACTCCTGTTTATAATTTAACTAATTTAGCTTCAAGAAGTTTGATTTTCAATCAAAAGTGCACATCATGCTTAGTCGAATAATGATAAGTCAGTTGAAGCAGTTTAATTCTTACCTTTAACTAAATTGTTTATATAACTTAAAACTAAGACACGTTTCATTAGAATCTGTTTCTCATCGAATTAGTCCACTTTATTTTTAGCAGTTCAGTAAAATATATTAATTGATGATTCAGAATTAGTAAATTAGAAATTTTATTTCAAGTACCTGTAAACAAGTAAATCCGATTGGTAGTTATCAGGCGCATGAAATGATAAGATAACGCATAAATAACAACGTTAAACTCCAGATTTTTGAGAACCCAATTCAATGATATAATTTTGAACTCGTAACTTTATTATGTATGTTAGATATATAAAAGTAACTCCTCTCTTGCTCAAATGCACATTTTTCAAATTAAAACAATGTATGTATTGTGCGAAGTGAAATTTTCAGCACTCATTTCTTCAATTTAAACCCCAATGGAATATTGATTATTATATTTTTATGAAAGTTTAATAGCCTGTTAGGGTTTCCTGATAACCATGCTGCTGGGCATGAATTAAATCGTGTGTAAATTGAATATAGGCGATATTGCAGTCTACCAGTTTTTGTTCAAAATGTTTTTTTTGCACGAACTTTCACACTTTCCATTTTAGCAATTGGTTAAATATAATCTGCAGTGGTCCTGCAATAATAATATAATAAAATTTACCAGGATTATTCGATTAAAATAATAATAATAGTGCACTTTCATAGAGTGTGTCGAAAAAGTTTTGCAACTGTTTATTCACAAGTGGCCTGCTCAGCGCCACAATTTAGGAATCAGTTCACTTTGGGGATTAGTGAACGAAAAATGACGGTTTTATCACCTTTTTACCGCTTAAACTCAGTAATTTCACGTTACTTTAAAAACCTTAAGTTCTCGTAATAGAATTACCGGCAGAAGATGCGCTGATGATTTATTGAATTTGAAAATATGGCCGTGATTTGTTTAGTCGCAGAAACTTAAACTACTTTCTTGCTTATTTAGGGCACCTAGTTGAATCGAAAGGATTTGCAGAAAAAGTAGAATTTTTGATTACCTACAGTAGAACTACTCGTCATTTAAAATGCCTCTGTAAGAAAGAGAACGGAGAGGTGCAATTGAATGACCAGCAAGGTCTCAGATTTAAGCCCACTCGATTATTTCTATTGGGGTCATTCAAAAAATAAGGTCCATGGTTATTTAGTTGACAGACGTAAAATAGTTAAGGCGAAGAATATTAACAGAAAGTAAGGTGTAACTATGAATGGCTAAAAATGAACCGCAAAAATTATACGTAGGCATATTTACACTGCCAAGCTATCTGGACTATAAGTTTTCGTTTACTCATTCTCTCTCTGAACTATTGCAGTAATTGTTGTTGTAGCTTAGCTATTATAGTCACTATATTCATATTTCTGTTTGAAATATCTATAGAATCCGAATTTTCACGGAAAATCCACTAGAACAGATTACACCTTTTTCCATTTGTAGCTTCCTGATGATTCACTACTTTTTAAGTGATATACATTTAAAATTAACAAATATTACAATTAGATGAAGCAGTCTTAGACTGAGACACTTTCAGGCTTGCAGAAAACTAATTGGGCAACTTAAAATTTAAGTGTTTAAGTAGTAACTGTTGCCCAGAGTGAAGAAAAATAAAATGTTTTTATTTAAGGATATTTGAAATGATTTGCAAGAAGATTCCGCTCGGTTTTTCGAGTGAAGTGATTAAAACCGTCAGGGTAGAGAAAGCAATATAATTTGATGATTTGATTCGTAAGGGCATTGACATATCACACTTAGAAAGACGAAAATTAGGACACTTTACGTTCAACTTTTCTGATTACCCTTTATTATTATTTACAAGTACTTGTTCATTATATGACACCATCCACAATTCAGTGATACGAATTTATAAACAACTCGAGCACTGATTGTTGTTAGAATGCTTAATGATAGCACATATTTGATTAAAGCAATAACAACATCAGGTCATTAATTAGGTGCAAAAGTTAACAATAATTTTACGAACACATTTATTGCAAAAATGAGCTGTAGTTTGGTGCTAGTATAAACACATTTGTATAAACTGAAGAGACTGAAAGAACCGATACTGGTCTGAGTGCGGTTGTACTGCAAATTAATATTCCAATTTCGTTGTCAGTGCATTTCTTAACTCGGTCATTATTTGTTCTGATTTAGCAGTACATAAGTGACATAGATAATTTTTTTTCAAATGATCACCGGTCAACGCCAAAGCCCGACTAATGATCAATCGGTTTCATAAATGCCAACGTTCTTGATACTACTTATACAGGGTGACTTCTACAACTGAACAAACTGTACTATCTATCGATTTATACTGATGATAGAAATGAAATTGAGTAAAATAAAAAATTCAGTTTGTTAAATAGTTTTTGAAAAATTTGCAACAATTTGATTCAATTTAATTCGGAAGACTAATTGCTTAATGGTTTTCTTCAGTGATTTTCTGGCGTCTCTATGTACAGTTCAATACAGAGACATAGAGTTCAATTTGTGTATTATTAGGTGATTTACCTACAGTATTTGTCAATGGATTTTAGAATTTTTCAGTTCAATATCAAGCGCTTAACAAACCATTTCTACTGATCATTTTTCTTTTAAATAAATTACAAATTACTTTTTTATCCGCTGAAAAGCATTGAGGTACAAATGTTTGAAAATGCACGGTCACAAACAATAATGAAAATCTCCGACATTGAGTTGTTGAAATATGTAAAATTTCCACTTTTATACTTATTTGCAGTAAAACTTCAGTTTGTGTTTTTGATCCCAAACTAATTTTGGCCATGCCTTATTTAGTCTACTAGCAACATTTTTTTTGAAGAATTTTCTGTAAAAGCTTTCTTATTATGAACCATTCTGTTACACACAGCAGCTGAATAAAATTTAATTTTAACGCAACATCTGAACGAAAACATTGGATTTTTTATTCGCTCTTTACATAAAATCATACTGAATGGAAACCGAAATAAATGAAAGTGAATTTAAAGAAAACTGATTTCTTGGAAATTTTTTTGAATTTGAAAATACTTGATTTAACAGCGAATTAATCCGTTCTTAAATAGTTTCAGTTTTAATGTTCATATATTTTTCTAGTCAAATTATTTTCATGTTAGTCGTTTTCAGTGTTTTTTTATTTTAGTTGAAATGGATTTCCTAAGATACCGACTACACTAAATTGGAAAATTTTGTTCTAAACTTCTGAATACTCTGTTGAGCGATCAGAAATGCTTCATCATTTTCTAGATTAATTCTATTGTATTATTGTATAAAGATTCTCATCATTTTATTATTATTTCACTTTAATACAAGATTATTCCAGCTGCCTGCAAAGTCTTTAGCCCATTCAATTGAATTAATTTCAATCTGTCGTCGTAAAACGGTTTACTCGTCGCTTACTTAAAGAGTGTTTACTCGTCGAATTTGTTTATAAATTTTGATATATGAAAATTGCGTTTGATATTGCATGAATGAGTTTTTAACGACAATGGTTTCAGTTGGCCTGTCCGAAGGTCTGTTTTGGGCCTCATCGATTGTATCAGGCTTGTTGTACAAAGTCATTACATTATTTTTACAGTTACAATAAATTAAAGAATTGAATGATCGAAAACTGCCTTTATTTAAACTTTGCGATGACGATAAAACTATTCAATATTGATGAGAAACAGTTCATTTTACCCAACCCAAATGCTCTTCCAATATTACCCCAATCTATCAATATTTGCTGTTGCCGCTATTTATCAGTAAAAGTATAATTTTAGCCACATTGACATATGAGATATAGGCATTAATTAGTAAGCTACAGCTACTTTATTAAAATTATTGGTGGTAATATGTGATGACGTCTACTTACTTTTGTATATGTCGCTTTTCATTTAGATTATTTAATGCTTATACTTTGTTTGCTTGCAGCAAAAATGCGACGAGGTTCTTCAGCACACTTCGCATCCCGTTACATTGAGCCAGCTGCATGGCTACAGAGACGCCTTTCAGCCTCATCTACAGAAGCTAACTTCTTGTATATGCCCAGACGATTGTCTTACAGTTCCAGGGATTCCAGTGATTCCAGTTTATTTTTACCGCGTAGAATGAGTGCATGCAGCATTTCCAGCGGGGACAGTTTCTATAATCGAAGAATGTCAGCTGTTAGTCAAGCATCAGATGCTTATCCTAACCGATCCAGAAGCAACAGCTCAGCTTTCCAGAATGGTGACAATATACTTAGAATGCCTAAGGGGCCAGATGGAAGTAAGGGATTTTGCAGGCAGAGGCCTAGTCTTCCTACACTTGTGCAATAGGTGAATTAGTTGTGCGATTCTTTGGGAACCTACTTTTTAATTTTTGAAAATTGTCCCTGATTGCTGCTCGAGTAATTTTTTTATATTTTCTGGGTTGACTTCTCGGCTCTTGATTTCAACGGAAAAAAGGAGTTGTTTGTGTCCGGTTATGGTTTATTTTGTTCGAAGTAGACCTTGGGAAATGTAAAAAAATATACATAATTATGTAATAATTTAATTATTAGATTTTCGAGAAATTTTAAGCAATTGGAAGCAAAGTGAAGGTAGAGAAGTGTAGTGAACTATGCCGTCTTGGGAAATATGTTTAATGGTACTTAAAGTTTACATTTCTGTGGTTTTCAGGATAATTCATTTCTAATGTCGGTTTTAATTAAAGTTCTACATAGTTTTAAATAATTGACTGAATTGTTGAAAATTTTTAAAGTTCGGTAATTTTTTGTCTATTTTAACTTCCAAGTATATGTTCCCTGTTTAGCTAGGAAGTCGCTGAGGTTGCTACAGGCGTAAAGTAGTAAATGTCCCAGTCTTCCAGTTTTGGTTGCAATGAGAAAATATACAATTTCTCGTACTTTTTGTAAAACCAGCTTTTTATTACTTTTAAGTATTGTTTATAGTAGGTATATACTTTTTTCTTTAACGCAGTTGTGAAATTAATTGGATTTTGTTACTCTTCCGATAAAACGTAATTCTGTCTCCTGCTGGAAGTAATCGTTTTTCAGCTACAAAGGTTTATGATTTTAGTCGCTACGTTTATTAATTTGCTTTACATATGGGTAATAAAACGCATTAATATTTACAATTTTTTTCAATGTCACTTGCCGCTTACACAGGCTTTTAAGTAGGCTGCGGTTCAATGAATTTACAAGTTCAGGTGTTGACCTAAAAATTTCGAATGTAATAAACTTATGGGTTCAATATAGTATTTATTGGTGTGTTGTTATACTCCATATTTTAGCAATGAGTAACTGCAACATCACTTCAATGAATCATCAAAAGTAAAAGTAGTTTAAATGTGATCGATTATTTATTAGGCACAGTAAATAATTCGGTAGACTTTTCCATGTATGTAGTATATTTAGCCAAGATTTCTGAGGCCTCAAACATGCAATTTATTACAAAGCGATTAACAATCGAATAGTATGAAACTCGTGATCTATGTCGACTACTTTTAGAGGTGGCACACTTGAAATTTCTTTTAGATCAGCATGCAATTCGAAGCCATTATCTGAGAACTTAAGCGCTAACGGTACACAATTGTCCGAAGTTGTCCGGTCGTTCTTTGAAACGAGTTTTCCAAATAGAGCATTCACGAAGAACAACCGCCACAATTTGTGTTTAAGTATTTATAATTTACTCTAATCAAATATTTGGTATCGACTTTACTGCAATTCATTTATTTTACTTAGTACTATAGAATACTAGTTTCTTAATTAATTAATTAATTAATACATTAACTGAGTTTATCGATTCTACATGGAAAGTCCTCGTTGGTTTAATTAAAGCATAAGGCAGGCGGCGAAGTCGGTTCTCGTCCTACATTTTGTAAAATCTAGATGCTTTCACTTCAAGTTCAAAAACGCACAAGTTGTTACCAATTAAACGGTGTTACCGAAAAAAAACCCACATTTTCTCGATTAGCTGTTAATATTCTGTGTTATCAATTTTAAAACTATCTTTTTACTGGCTTTGGGTATATTTTGCAGTTGAATGAATGTTAACTTAATTGCACACTTAACTCATCTGTGTCAGGGATCATTTGTTCTATGAATTTTGTTAAAAAAAATACAATATTTGATTTCATCAAAAGCAACCGAAGTCATTAAACTACGAAATAAGTTATCACCATAACGAGCTTCATATATTCCAATTAGATGTGCACTATACATTCTAATTTTAAATCAGCTCAGTTACTTTCTATTCATTATTTAATCTTCGATATAGTTGGAGAAAGCTTTCCATTCTGTATTAAATTAGCCATAAAGTATTCCTCGTTTAACTTGTTTTACTATCACCTTTCTTTCTGTGTATTGGTTGGTTGGTTTATTTCGTCAAATACTTAATATTTGTATGATTGGAGTATTGAAAAATTAAGGCTTCTGTGTTATGTTTGATGTTATTTAGATCTGTTTTGTTCTAAAAGCAGTAATTTTATAAGTAAAACTATTTATAAATACAGTTGTATTTTACATAAATATTTATGTTTAGATGTTTGTAGAGTTATGGATTTTGTTGAAGTAACTTTAGGATTTCTTAGGTTATTAATTGGCTGGTACTAATTTAAATAGGTCGAAACAGTTTTCAAAATACTAATTTTAATAATATTAGCATTTTTATGTTTTTGTGCTATTTTTCTATTAGAATGTTGATTTATTTATTACTAGCAATAATCAGTTACATGGCGATAGAATGGCGATAGTCATACATTTGGAATTGCGTAGTTAAGGGAAAACGATACTTTAATTTCTGCTTTCCTCTAGTTTATTTTTTTGTGGACTTCATTAATAATTTTAATTTTAGCTTTTTGTATATAGTATTTATTGATATTATTTATATTGTTTGGGTTAATACAGATATAATTTGAAAATTGTATGACTTTTTTCCTTAAGTGCAAAAACCTACCAATAACTTTTTCATTTTATTCCTGCACAGCAACAGCTTAAATGAGAATTGCAGCACAAAATATTCATATCTACGATTTATACAGTTTTCATAACAATGTGGAAAATTATTGGAATACGAGTAGAAACAACAATCCGATTTTAAAGAGTGTACAAATAAGATATGGCTTATTTTATTTATCGGTAAAGACTAGAACAATTTTAATTTCGAGTCAAATGTTATATAGGCAAGTGAAACAGAACTCAGTTGTACATGCTGGGATTCAAACAGGTATGTTTTTCGTTTCGACAATACATTATCAACATTACTAACAGAGAATAGTTTTTGTGCTTATAACGTAAAATATGTACATTTAATTACATTTAAAGATATTTCGATACTCGTTGACCAGAAGAAAAAGGTTACTTCTTTTGCTTTCACTTATCTGCTTTCAAACTTTGAAAATTGAATTTACTGTGAATTATTTTGAATATTAAAAGTAGAATATCTAGCCAGAATAATAAACTAAATTTAGATAAGCCTATAGTTTACATTTTCATCTTAAATTGGGCGCATATGAGTTAATCTCTATTGGAGATTAGGTAACAAGTAACCAGCATTTTAAAATTGTTTTTAAATCAATTAGCATTCCTATTTTGAAAGAAGAATTAAGAATTCCCGAATTTAAACAAATTCGGGAATTCCTAAATTTGGAAATTTTGGACTTTCAAAATAATTATGAGCCCACCATTGAACCAGAAAAGATCCTCGCTTAACAATGCTTTTTTACACATTTTAGGATATCACGCATTTTTTCGAAACAGCAATAGCTATTTATAAACAGGTTCAATGGCCTATTTAAATGTCTTTTGATGTATTTATTTTTTATGGTATCGTGCTTCGTTCTTATAATGTTGAAAGCCTGTTGATCACATCACTTGTTTAAGATAATGTTTTTTTTGTTTGTGTTGATGCACTTTATACGTCTAAGTCCGCAGCATTTTGCTTGAACATTTAATTTGAACATTTACCAGCTCCTTCCTACTGAATAATCCGTTACTTGCAAGAATTATCTCAGCTTTGAGAACAGCATATCTCCTTACATCCACCTTGAACAGTATTGTGAGTACAATACTTTTTTATTTTGAGTTTCCAAAAAATATAGCTGAGATCTGCAAAATTGTAAAAGGAAGATGGAAAAATTTGAAATTGCCTACTAATAATCATAAAATAATCCTTTTTAAAACGGATTAATAAAAGACACATATTGTGCGTGTTTTTCGTCATGTTTATTGAAAATTATGATTATCTTTCGTCACTGCTACAATGCCTGTTTATTATGTCTCAAGATATCCAGATATCCTTCACCTAAAAATTATTTTAATTGTGCAAAAGATAAGTAACTAATAAAATTTTCGTATATACAATGAAAGTTTCCGTCATAAAAACGCGCCATAAAGCACAACGCATCACTGTTCTCGCGAATCCAGATTGAGATAGGACATAAACCGTAAATAGTGAAAAATGAGTTAAAACATTTTAAGTAATTAGTATTGTTCTATGTTTATTGTCTATTTTATATCCTTACTCTGTATTGAACTGAAAAAAAGAGCTCAAAACCTTTACAGTTTAATACATGCGCTTTAACCAAGGCTTCCATATCTTCAACCTTGTGCAAAGTTTTTCTTTTCATTACGTTCGGCAACACGCTCTCAAATTTATTGAGTATGGCTCTTATGACTATCTGAGGAAAAATGGCAAAAACAACATTTTAAAGAAAATCAGATGTTGACATAGATCTTTTAGGAACAAGGTTCTGAACTTATATAGTCCTTGAATACAGAGAGAAAAGAAAACCTTAAATTAACATAACTGATGAGTGTACTGTTATATGGAAGGTCAAACGTGTGGGAACACAATATTTAAAAACAGCTCAAAAAACAACATGCGGTATAAAATTAAGGTAGGGCTAAAGAGTATTTTAAAACTTTATTAGCGGCAGATGTTCTCTTTTTCATTCAGCTTTACTTGATATTTATTAGAGTTTAAGGTAATGCAACTGAAAGAGTTTTCCACATATTAATAAGTTGGTTTTGTTTGCATATTACTTAATTATATTATTATTACTGTATATTGACTTACTTCATTATCTGGGCAAATTATATTGTTTTAAGTTAACTTATTTTTATTGATTAATATATCATTGAAGATGAATCCTCCTGACTCTGACTACTGAGGATAGACTCTGAGCTATTTGATCGAAAATACGTAAAAAAAAGTAAAAAGCGGTTCATTCAGCACTTTCGACAGACCTAAACCACAAATTTTCAGCCAAACAAATCTACACTCTTTTTAGGGATTCGCTCGAAATTTATTTAATCTCGAAGGACTAAAAACGCACGTAGCCAATTGCAAACGGATGGGTTGCAAATGCAAACTCTTCTGGGTTCAGATGCATAAGAAATTTTCTGCGGAAATCAGAAACGTACTCCCAAGTCTAAGATCAGCGTTTTTGAGTAATAGTTTCCTGATTTGAGTACAAAACATTTTTTATAACTTACAAAGCAATGACTAAAAATAAGTAGTTTATGAAAAGATAAATATTGACTACAATTATGTACTTCCAAAGTAGAAAATTACTTCTTGGGATTCGTTTAGGGCTTGTAACAAAATTTACTTTATCAAGATATTTTTATCACAATTATGTTTTTATAGTTGCTAAATTGGTAGCTCAAATACTTTTTTTCAGATACCTTATAAATGACAATATTTTGTTTTAAAGCATTTAGTTTCGAGCATTCGTTCCTATTCATTAAAAACTGATTCATTTAATATTTAAAGTGCAAAATTTATTGATGATCTCTCTCTGTGTTTATGATGACGAGAAGACAATATCTACATGTTAAATCGCTTTCTGGTTGAGAGTTAAAAATAACAAGTAAGGACCAAAAATATTGATTTTATAACAATGTAATTAACTGATAAGTAGAAACAGAAAATGCAAAGAAATTTTTAAATTCTTGGGCTAATTTTCCGCTCAGCTACTGAGCAAACATGTTAAGGAAGTGATATATAGAGAAACAAACTTCAGCATTTCGCCAGAATTAATGTTTATGAACTTGTTAAGTAGACAGCAAACAAAACTTTTAATTATTGAAAGGTGTACACTGCTTAGGCTCTAAAGACATAATGGTACATCATAAATATATGATGTATGTTGACGTACTAAACAATAATACAATTATGAGTAATTATTCTGGATTAGTATGTTTATTTCGTAATGGAATATTACAAATGAAATGTTTTTTTTATAAAGGTACCCTGTAGGATTATTGTCCTTAAATTTTCCAAAAAGAAACAATGAAATGCAGCTTAAATACTAAATCTACAATAGGCACTTAAAATTCGCGACATCTCCGCATGGATTTACTCATATTTTATTAGATCATAAATTATGAAGGACAACTCCTCGAGGTGAGTTTAGGTTAATGGTTATCAATAAGAAAATCCATTTGAATGACCTTTCGTAAATATGACGTGCTTGAATTGATAATTTAGAACAATTTATTGCTTACTATTTAAGTTAAAGAAAATTAATTTTACTCACATCGGCATCGAATCGAAAATCGAAAATGATGTATAGTTTTTACGCAAAAACTCATTAAAATAGATCACACATTAGATATTTAACTTTTTAGCAGAAAACTGCTACTACTAACACTGATATATCAGCTATTAATTTGATCGGATTAGATTTGAGCTTTAGTAATTTCTCATTTATTAGTCAGTTTCGACTCATTTCGGAATTCAATTTCGGTTTATGATTAGTACGGAATTTCAATTATATGTTGTGCTTACTGTCAATGATTTGTAGGGAAAATTTTACTTCCAGGAATATCTAGAAGTCATTAGTTTGAGACAATAAGTTATTATCTGTTAATAAACCCAATTTAAACTCGTGATAAAATTTATGAATAGAATTGCGTCGACGTCGAGGGTTTTATTAATTTTCATAAATATTTTTAATGATTTATCAGGAGAGATCCTTCAACCTAGACAGACCAAGCCGCTACGTAACGAACACAGCTTCCCAGAACATATATCTTTCTGTAAATTGCTGGATTATTCACTAATTCCTTTACACTTTCCATTGCTGTTTGCTCTAATGATTTTATTTGGCTCAGGGTTTAACCCAGACGATTGTAATTGAACATTAGATTTAAAAAATTTCCATCATCTGACTATGTATTACCAAGGAATGTTATGTGGATTAAAGTTATGTTTGTTATTGCTACCAAGCAAGTATGTCAGCTTTCTTTTGACCATACAAAACTTGACGATAAGACTTTGGCCATAAAATGTTTCCTAAAACGTTGGCTCAACAGACTATCTAAGGATAAATAAAGGGCATTAAATATATGCATATCTTTTGGTTTATATTAAAAATTATTTGAAGAGCACTTCTTCAGCTGTATTTATGTGTCGGATGCTTCAAAATTTGCATCATTTCTAATGCATTGCATCATTTCTAATGCATCAAATGTAACCGATAGGAGTGTTTACGGTCTGCAGAAAAATTAGTAAACATGAATTTTCACTACAAACTGACGTATGTAAAAATCTAAATAAGAAATTGATTTGTAGAAGAAGCATCTGTTCATGTATAAATAAAAAAGGGAACAGGTGTAACTAAAGATCAATAATAAAATAGATCGTTTTACTGACGGAGCTATAAATCCGTCATTTTGATCAATACAGAAAAAGTTACTCAGCTAGCATATAAATTGTAAGATTTAATATGCGTACTCAAATAAATGTGTCTAAATTTCACAAATAATAATGTGAAGTTATATGTATGAACTTGCGAAAATACTCTTTTTTCTGAGATGCCCGCTTAACTCAGAACCTATTCAAGTCGTTTAGATCTGTTCGTCTAATAATTGTCTATTGCTCTTGGAACTATTGTTGATAGTTTGAATTGTGTTCTTG